GGGGGAAAGGAGGAGACGGGGGAGGAAGGAGGACACGGGGGGGAGTTACGGGGGGGCTCACCTGCTGCAGGCGGTGGGCCTTGCTGAGGTGCATGCTCAGCGCCGGCGGGTTGGGCAGCACCTTCCCGCAGCCGGGCACCGTGCACAAGATGTTGCTGCGGACGGCCCGAGACAGCTCCGTCACCGAGGGCGTCACCAGCTCCCGCGGGCTGCCCGGACGCTGGCGGACGTCGCGGGGTGCCGGGCGGCGGGGACGACCGAGACCCAGGCCGGGGTCCCCGCGCTGAGGCGGCCGCTGCGGCTGGAGAGCCCCAGGAGGAGGAGGAGGAGGAGCGGCCGCCGCCATCTTCCTCGCGCCCGTTCCCAAACCAACCGGCCGGGCGCTTCCGGTGGGGCAGCTCATGAATATTGAGAGAGGCGCCGATTTCCATATTCATGAGGGGCGCGTGGGAAGGAGCGGCGCCGGCCCCGCCCTCGGAGCGGAGATCCCGCCCCCTTTTTCGGCGGCTTGAAGTCACGTGGGACGAGGCTGCGGGCCGGATTCCAGGCGGCGGTTCATTCATCCCATCGATTAGTGCCGGTTTAATGAGGCCGCCCGTTTACCGAGCGCGACTTTTTGGTTTTTAATTTTGCGGATTTCTGGGCTGAATGCACAGAGTGAGCTCAAATGCTCCTTCCTAATGTCGGCATGAAACATTAAGGCAGGGGTCTGCCACCTTGACCGCTTTAAGACTTGTGGACTTCAGCTCCCAGAATTCCTCAGCCAGCATAGCTGGCTGAGGAATTCTGGGAGTTGAAGTCCACAAGTCTTAAAGCGGTCAAGGTGGCAGACCCCTGCATTAAAGTTTTTTCTGACTGGCGGGTTTCACACCATCAACTTAAGGTAGCCCAGTCCAGGATCCAGGCTACAAAGTGTAGATCAACAAAAAGCAGAAATGCCCAATTATTTCAGAGAGAATAAGATCTAATTTAACAGACTTAATTAAGTAAAAAAGAAAAAAAAATCTTTATAGGCGGAAGTCAAGACTGCTGATGGGTTTACTTGCCCGTTTTAAAACCAGCGAGCCTCTGCTGCAAAATTAAGTATGCATTTTGTCCTTTCCAAGGACAATTATTTTAGCTATCCCTCCCTTAAGATTTCCATGATTCTATGCCTTTATAAATTCCAGATTCCAAACACAGAAGAATCCCTTGTAAGTTGACAATCCTATTAATTTTAGAGCCAAAGGGGTACTAGGATAAGCCCAAAACGTAAGCATTTCAAACTACACACTTGCCTTTTTATGATCCTGCAGTCTCTGCTTCGGAGTAGAGTTGGGGCGACAACAAAGTCAACTGGAATGCAACTGCAACCAATTTTATCTAACAAGTTCTGTATATAGAATCATAAAGTGATTCATGAAGTTTATACACTAACATTTCAAGCCAAGCTTGACTATTCCCATTTCGGAGAATAACAAAAAAGCCCAGCAGTTTACAATACATTTGACTAATTTTTCAGATGTTGCATAACGGGTAAAGATTACACTTAATTTATCCTTCGGTTAAATTCAAATAATCTTTGAGTAAGAAGGGGCTTGCATAATATAATAAACCATAGAACAATTTGATTTAGTGCAATATCTGCAACTACAGATTAAATGATGGTTAAGGCAAAACTGATAAGTTACACTGAGCTCCTCAAGCAGCAGGATAAACTTGGAATAAAGTAACAGTAATACAATGAAACTAATTTTATAAATAGCTTTATTTATATTTACAAAGTATGAGAATCAAAAACCTCTTAAAATAGCTATCTGCATTGTCAGAAAGAACCTTGACATTTGTTAACAGTCTTCTGCAGTATATGACTTATATTCATGGACATCCAAGTACATATAAAGCCATCCTATTAAAAATATACGTGATTCACTAAAATTTTAGTTTAAAATTCAATTTAGTATAATTTATTATCAATGTTTGTACAGAGTGCATTCTGTTTTCACAGCAACTTCTCCAAAACAAGCAATTAAAATAACTGGATTATATACACCAGATTAGCATTTCATTTTTAATTAGACAAGATTGATTGGGCATTGGTAACATCTGCACTGGTTTTTATTAATTACATGGTTAAGAATACACAAACCTTCACTGATAATTGTTTACAAAATCTCACAAAGATAATACTGTGAATTATTCAATTTATTTTTCACCAGTATTGTAAAATCTTTTTTGTATGCTTTGCGTCAGAAGAATGTGGCACGTATGAAGAGTTTACTGGTTATAACACCGGGAGTGTCTCGTCCTTCCAAGTTGTAAAGTATATTTTTCTGCAAACCATACAGTAATATGAAAGATACAGAGAACATGGGAGGCGGGAAGTCCATCTTTGTCTCAGCAAAGAGATGTTTGTTCTTTAATTTACCTGAAAGGTACTATTGGTCTGTGAAAGATCATCTTTTTTCTCTCTGATTTTAAAATAGTTCCTGGCTTTTCGAGTGATGCAGGTGAGTAGTGGTGAAAGAGGAGCATCTGCTATTCCTAGTATAAAAAAATATAATAAAAATAAATAATATGCATCAAGTTTATGTTTATATTTTGTTATACTTGAAAATAATAAAAAAAAAATTTTTTTTTTAAAAATAAAAATAAATAAATAATATGATAATTTATATCTGTGTAAGTAAACCTGGCAGTTCAGGAATTCGGTGTCTTTTAATAGCACTGCATAAATCCATATATAACAGCATGACACAACAGTTTGGTGTCAAAATCTGTTTCAGGCAAGGATCGGCTACGTGACGTTTTCAGCTACCATGCTCATGATTTTTAATGTCCAAAACTTTGCTTGAGATCTTGCCTAAAAGTTGTTTAAGTCTCGTGAGATTTTGGCAAGATGCAAAATCAAAATAGAAGAACTCACATATGATATCCATCCATCCAGGAGAATAGATTCTGCAAGCATTAAAGTTGCTCATTCACACTGGGAATTTAGAAAGAGGCTAAAGTAGTGAGCAGCTTAAAATGGACTTTTCCCTTATTAATTTATATTAGAATGAACCAACTATTACAGAATTCAAATATTTGCATTTGAATATAGTAGAGTTTGAATATAGTAGAATTTCATCAGATGCTTAATTAAGATGAGCCCAGCCACCCCCAGACTAGTTTTTTAAAAATACAGTTTAAATTGGTTGGCAAGGAACTCAAATGAATAGTTTGCATCATTATGGAAAGGCCTATGAATCACTGGTTTTATAGGCAGTTTTTATTCTGTAAAAATATTATATAATAGTGGCTTTTAGGTTCCACCATAATTGCAATACTTACCAGAAGGCCCTAGAGACTTAAGGGCTTCTAGAAGATGAGGACTAGAAAACTTGATCATACATCTAAATGGCTCATCAGTATTCAAGGTGCTTATTTCTTCACTTTTTAACACTGTTTCAAGCTGTAATTGATAACAACAACAAAAAACCCAGAAACTGTAAATAGATCAATGTGGTATGACTGTTAAGGTTCTGGCCTAGACCAGGGAGATTCACATTTGAATCCTTGTCCAGCCATGAAAAGTCACTGGATGACTTTGGGCCAGCCCTTTTCTAAGCCAAAACTAATTCATACGATTGCTGTTGGGATAAAATGCAGGAAAATCCCCACAGAAATAGCCTTTAAGAGATGTATATCTAACAAACAAAGCAATATAATAAATCATATTTATGCCATAATTCCCTAAATGTACTTCCCTTCATCTTTGGCCCAACATGCTAAACAGCCTAACATATTTTGTTATCTCAATTTGATCACCTTAGCAATCTTATGAGTTGGACGCACACACAAAAAAGACCCTAAAATTACATGTGATTTCTATGATAAAAGGGGAACGTGAACCTCAATCTTCCTGACCTGATCCAATTCAAATATCTTAACTGCTTCATTATAAAGTCATTTTAAAATGTACTATCCTTACAAAAATCTTGTCAACATTCCCCAAAATTACATTTTTTTTTCAAAACAATAATTGCAAAATTAATTTGATTAACAAAAGTTTCTTAGCATCTATTCAGAATTCATTTTATATGCCGCAACTATTTTATTTAAGAACAATTATTACAATATTAAATATAACTTAAGAAAAATGCACATGAAAAAAATCAAAGGGTGCCCTCTAGTGGAAGAAATATCTATTTCTAATATACAAACCAAAACAAGCAGAACTTTAATTTAAATGCACTAATTTATTCAGCATTGTTATTGATTGTATTAAAAGTCTTAAGTTTGGGAAGATAAAGACATATACGAAACAATTTACACTGTCAGCGTGTAGATCAGGGTCTCCCAACAGTGGCTGGGGAATTCTGGGAGTTGAAGTCCATACATCTTTAATCTTTCGAGGTTGAGAAACACTGGTGTAGATTATGGCCCATAATCTTCATTGAGGAAGATTTCACCCTGTAGTTTATTGATTCAGGATGACATTATCTCTCTTTCTTATCAATATGGTAATAATACCTAACAACATATCTTTATCCTGGTTGAGCAGGAGATGCAATGGAGGTCCCATCCTGGTTACTGGAAGCAGTTAGGGCTTGGACAGGGAGAAATAGGCTTAGATCAATCCTACCAATACAATATGGTTGAGTGTCCAGCAGCTGACTGAACCCAGGGACATTGAGAGGGCATTGATGCTCCTGTTTGAACAGCAAGTGTAGGTTGTGACCATGAAGGCCTTTGTATAATCAGCTGTTATGTGCCAACCAGGTACATAGGACTGTTTGGTTACAGTTGTGTTACCTGAGTTTTGCTTTAATCTTTTGACATTAATACTGTAAGTGGCTCAGAGGAAATCAACTTAATTAAGAACAGAAAATTGGAATATTCATGGAATCTGCAGAATGTAAGTATAAGTAGGCCAAAATAAACATTGCCAATGTCCATGGTAAAGTAGAAATTAACCTTGTATTGTGCAAATTCCAACTTTGGTTGAGGGCCATCACCAAAAGTGTCCTGATTAACTTTCTGAATTCTCTCCTTTTCAAGTTCATCTTCAAGAATTATCCTTGGATCAACTGGAAAAAAGTTAAAGACACATCAATGTACTGAAAGCATGCGTAGCATAAACCGCAATATGGTTCTACATTCCACTTGCTCCCATCTGCCAAAATGTTAAGAAGTCAGCCTATGGGAAAACTGAACCCCCCTCGGTTAGACATATAAGATACATGCTTAGTAGGGGCCAGGCAGTTCCATAGGGATGGCTGTGCACCGAGCGTGGTCCATCCACCTCTAATTTAAAGAAATCATTTTGATTTAAAATAAATTAACAAGTTAGCTTAAATACCGTTTTCCAGGGCACTGTTTTTTTCTTGTAGAGGTCGAGGGAGATATGTCTGAAAATTCTAAAAAAGAAATAAGGAACAGAAAAATAATACCAAAATGTTAAGTTGGAACATTTCCTTGTACGAGTGATTTTTTTAGAAATATTAAAAAAAACAAAAAACTATGTGTAGCAACTTTCTTTTTTTAAAAAAGGAAATATGTGAGTTAGTGAAGAAATACTGTACTCTTAAGTTTATACATTAATCTCTGTACCTCATGACCAAATATGGAATTTCAAAATGTGCAAGGCCCATACAGGGTGGCCTTACACTCGTTGGTTTTGTATTCCAGATACTACATATAATTCTAAAGTTAGAAAAACGTTTATGCATTTTGCTGAATACCTATAGTAACCACTAAAAACTTTTTAACTAGCAAGCAGGGCAGAAGTTGAGAAGGTAGAAACAAGGGAGTACAGGTGGCTCTCCATTGCATGTACATGTTGGAATTCCCTCTTCAGGAATAACATATGGAATGTACATGTGCTCTGGTGCTAGCTAAAACTAAAAAATAATGTGTACCAGTTACTAAATTTGGAATACTAGCAGTATAGACATTTAATATATTGTTATGCTATTGATTGAGAGTTGAATATATTGTTATGCTATTGATTTTATTTATTTATTTATTGTTTGGATTTTTATCCCGCCCTTCTCCTTACGGACTCAAAAAGCAAAAGGTGAAACTTTAATTCCATCCACAGGGTTAAAATTTACCTTGTTGGGTTACTGTCCAGCTTTGTAGTATTGTAATGTGATCTCTTTGAAGAAGTCACATTCACCATATTGGAAAGCTTAGAAAACAGTCCTAAAACAAAACAAAACAAAACCCAAAAGCTCACCTGGCAAAATCTTTTAAGCAAAATAACTTTAAGAGAGTCTAAGCAATGGCTTCGGAGACCCATTTCATGGATGTCTTTGTAACTGGTAGCAGCCAACAGGGCCTTCAAATGAAAATGGAGGCAATCTTTAATTGAAACTGAAATGTATTGTTCTTCCCAACTCCCCATTTTACAATTATTATATTTAAGCATGTATACATTATACGTTAGTTCAGAAAACCAAAATATCAATTGACTCTTGTTACATCAAAAAATGACCTTGCAAGAAAATCAAGATAAATGCAAAGCACATTTACCTGAAAAAGCAAAGATGTATTACCCTTAAATCTAGAATTGGCTATAAAGACATAAGGGGTTTGTGAATGGTAAACTATATAGGTTGGCTTGTATTGATTAGGCCTTATACGCGGTGTTCCCCATGCAATTCGAATCCATACTGCATTGTCTTCATATTCTTTAAAGCTGAGAGTGGTCTGATGTAAAGAGAAAGGAAAAATTACAGTGGCTTGTTTAAACCATAGTAAAATATTGCATAAGTAAATAAGACATAACTGTTTCTCACATATGCATTACAGACAAAACGAACACAACAGCCTAGCTTACGTAAAACACAAAGCCATAGTGGGTTTGCTTTTAGTTTAAATAATATATGCACTCCTGTTTATGTCTTATGCAACTGTTTAAGCAGAAATGCTAAACCCACTTGTCCAACTAATGCACAGTTATAGTGAACAGTTAAATTATTTTTAAAATATCAGTTATTTTAGTTCACATACAGAACGGTATATGCTACATTTCATATAGGTGATTAGCTTCTGAATATTATGATCAAGTGGAATTCAGAAGGATCACTTCTAAATAAAAATAAAGGTCTTTTTAATTTCAAATTGTCTTACATTTAAATGATTTAGTAGAATAGGTTAAGTATAATCTCTTAAAATTTAGAGAGTAAATATTTTCATGAATTATTCTTACATTTTTCAAAATAGGTAGCAGAGTGTATCTAAATTTCTTTTTGAAATTTGCCCAGTTAAAAGTAACCGAATCTTCACTATCTGCAAATAATAAAAGATATTAAAATGGGTTTCATTTAACACACATGTATATTTTATACAAAATAAGGTCAAGAGTTACTTTTACACCGAAGGCTATAATTTCCCATTACTTTTAACATTGTTAAAGGTGATTCAAGACCATTCATGTTTACACAAATCAACTTTCACCAACTTGATGATTTCTAGATGTTTTAGATCACTGTACATTTCTGATGGGCCTCCAAAACTGTCAGTACTGATGGATGACATAGCTAATATTTCAATCTTTGAAGTATCAAACAACTGATTTTGCTTTAGAACCGAGTTCCCCAAGGTTTTTGGCTTTGCAGATTGGCGGGGGGGGGGGAAGAGAGGAGATGGTTCCACGTTGAGTGGCCAGCAAGCGCTTGCACAGCTCCATTTACGTGGTGATGGCCACACGCACCCATGCAAATGGAACACATGAGCATGCGCTTGGCAGCTGGTCATGCAAGTGGGGATGTGCCCGCATGTCTGCCTGCCGCTTCTGTGGCTTGGTTCCAAATGGTTCACAGTGCAGTAGTGGGCTGCAGCCCGGGGCTTGGGGACCCCTGCTTTAGAACAAGCAAGCCACCACAGCTGAAATATATCAATACAAGTGGGATTAATAGCAAGGCAACTTTTATCCTCTGGCCATAAGACTAATTACAAGCCTCTAGGCAGTTTTATTAATAGGAAAAAGTGATTTAAGGTAGAGTGTTTTTAACTCGCATTATCTTTTGGCTAATGCATTGGTTTTTATGCTAGGCATTTTTTTCAATTCAAGATCATAATAATATGTATTTATTTGATTTATATTCCCGTATTTCCCAGAAGTTAGTTTTCTAAAAACTTTGGGAAAAAGTATTCATTGTATCTTTCAAAACCTGTGAAGTAAGTCAGACTGAGAGTACTAGTAGTCCTCGACTTATAACATTCATTTAGTGAGTGTTCAACGTTACAACAGCATCGGAAAGTGATTTATGATTTTTCATACAACCATTGCAGCATCCCCATGGTCACATGATCAAAATACAGACACTTGGCAATTAGTTCGTATTTATGATGGTTGCAGTGTGCTGGAGTCATGTGATCATCTTTTGTGACTTTCTGACAAGCAAAGTCAATGGGGAAGCCAGAATCACTTA